GCCCCATCTAAGGCGTGATATCGCTATTTATTACCAGACGTGCGCTGAACGTCAAAAGATTAAAAAAACCCTCAACCACTCGTCGTAGTCCACTGCAGCCAATGACGGCCGGCTTTCCGGATGAGATCGTGGGTATCGACACTATTGGCCCGATGCCAGAGACTCCTAGATGCCATCGTTACGTTCTTGTTATGGTGGACTACTTTACCAAATGGTGTGAAGCAGTCCCTCTTCAAAATATGGACGCATGGAGTGTGGCAATAGCGTTCTTTAGCAACTGGGTGGCAAGGTGGGTATCACCCTATCAGTTACACTCAGATCACGGAGCGAACTTCGAAAGCACCCTCATGAGCGAGATGTCACATTTTCGGCATCCGGAAGACACACAACTGCTTACCACCCGTAGGGAAACGGACTAGTGGAACGCACGAATCGTACGCTGAAGACGCTGTTACAGGCTTTCCTGACTACCGAGACTCCTCGGGAATGGGACATAGCTCTACCCAAATGTTTACTGGCTTATCGAGCGTCCGTCTATCCATCGACCGATCAGACACCACATCGTGAAGTTCGTGTGCCCTCGGATACTATGCTGCCGACGTCACACCATGAATCTCTAACCGCTTCGGATCATGTACTTCGGTTACAGTCAAGTCTGTTACGAGCACACCAATGGGCACAAGCGCAACTGCAAACCTCGCAGCGCCACCAGAAGACTTACTTTGACCGGAAGGCTTTCGAGAGTCTGTTCAAACGTGGTGATACGGTCTGGCTCAAAGCAACAGTAACCACCGGGCGCCCCTGCGAAGCTCCGTCGAAACTAGGAAGGACCGTTCGTCGTGGAAGAAGTGTTGTCGGATATAACTTATCGAATCAGGAGGCCGGGCGATCCTGGTTCTTCAACGGTTGTACAACTCAACAGGCTGACGCCAGCTAGGGAGTCGCAGGTGCTGTGGACAGCGCCTGTTAGAAGGGGAGCAATGTAACGGGACGCGCCATCTTGTTTTAACCCCCTCGGAATCGGGCCTTACCGGTCGTCGTGACCTTGACTGTTGACGCGTGATTCTGCGCTCGGTTACTCGTACCTATTAGGCCACTTTTCGGTGTCTGCTTGCAAACAGACTCCTGATACGTTGTTCGTCGATATTCGTTCGGCGTTGCCGCTCCGGTCTGATGCGTTCGTCGTCGTTGTGTTTGGTCTGCGCGGTGAACTTCGCTTAACGGCTAGGAACTATCCCACGGCTCACGCTACGCTATACGCGGGATCATACCACTAGGCTGGGAAATCGTTCGCAGTTGAAAGCTTACCGTGGGTCAGTGACTGTTATTGTTTAACCCACTGAGTTCTGACTAAGATTATTTTTGTAATGTCAACTCGTTCGCTACATATTTGGTGACCCCGTTTTGTATTTATTTTTGGTTTTCTTTAACACTTCTTTAAAGCTCGTAACTCACGTTTTTTTGGCCATGGCCTTTGAACATGTTTCTTCTGAGGCCACATCGTAACGCCTTGTTGGTTTTTCTGTGCCTACTTTCGATACATCCAATCCTCTTGTTTGGTTTTTACAACTCCAGGCACTTTTTCGTTGCCTCTTTAGTACCTCGCAGTCCACCATGTTTTCTTATGTTGCTGCACATCCCCACTTGTGTCGCCGCTGACGTCGCAGATTTGCTTGACCCCATTCCGACTGGTGCACCTTACGATAAGCCTAAAGCTGTTCTTCTAAAACGCACTTCCGCCTCCGATGAAGCCCGACTTCAGCAACTGCTTTCCGGTGTTGAGCTCGGTGACCGCACACCTTCACAGCTCCTTCGCTACATGCGCTCCTTAGTCGGTCCTACCAAGGTCGATGACGGCGTTTTGCACCAGCTTTGTACAAAATGTCTCCCGACAAATACTACAGCGATTCTTGCCGTGTCCACCGATGATGTATCCTTAAATAAGCTAGCAGAAATAGCAGACAATATCCATGAATGTTTTTTTTCAAACATCCAGTTTGTCACGCTGTCGATTTGCCTACGACTTGCCCCCCCCCCCCCGGAAACGACTCACGATCGTTATCACACAGGCTGTCCAAACTTGAACTCCAATTTTCGAGTGTTCGACGCCCTCGCAGTAGAAGTCTCAGACCAGTATCTCAAGACAGATGTACTTTCTCGCGGAACGCAGTAGGTTACTATTGTTACTACCATCGCCGTTTTGGTGACTCAGCTAGGAATTGTCGCTCTGATTGCACTTACCCTAAAGCATCCAGCATGCCGCATCTGGAGAACGATCAAGCCAGCCAGTAATGGCGACGGCTGCAGCTCGCCAACCGTCTAGTCGCCTACTTTACGTCCACGACTCCACAACTAATCTCTCCTTCCTGATTGACACCCGTGTTTAGGTAAGCGTTCTACCTCGAAGAACAGAACGCTACATACTTTTTACCGGAATCAAGCTTCAGACGGCCAGCAGCACCAAGATCAACACGTACAGCCAAAAGCTGCTAACTCTTGACCTCGGACTCAGACGATTGTTTCCGTTGGTCTTCCTCATTCCAGACGTCCAACGTCCCATCATTGGCGTCGACTGTTTTACGAGGTACAGCCTGATGGTAGACCTACGCTGCAGGAAACTCCGTGTTAGTGTCACATCTCTCACTGTCCCTCGTAAAGTTGCCACGATAAGTTCAATCGGCCTCCGAATGTCGCTTCTCATCGATAGCGTATTCAGTGAATTACTTCATCAATTTCCTGCTTTATATCAGTCGTCTGACGAATTTTCAGATCCAAAGCATCACAGTGTGCACCATATCCTTACGACCGGACCTGTTTCTGCTCGGCTCCGACCGTTGTCACCTGACAAACTTGCGACAGCTAAGGCTGAATTTCAGCATATGCTGAGTCTCAGCATCATCCGACCGTAGTCTTCTCCGTTACACATGGTCCCTAAGAAATCGAGCGGGGACCAGCGACCATGTGGAGATTACGGTGCTCTTAACAATGCTACAGTCCCAGACAAATATCCCATCCCCCACATTCACGACTTCTCCGTCGATTTGTACGGCAAGTCTGTTTTCTCTAAGATCGATCTTCTCCGTGCGTACTATCAGGTTCCTGTTGCCTCTGAAGATATCCATAAAACCGCCATAATCCCTTTTGGCCTTTACGAATTCCTCCGTATGGCTTTTGGGTTGCGAAACGCTGCGCATACTTTCCAGCGGTTCGTCGACCAAGTCCTTAGAGGGCTTGATTTCGTTTTCGCATATATCGACGACATCCTTGTGGCTAGTGCGAATTGCGAGGAACACCTCTCTCACCTTGCTTGATCTTCGAGCGCTTTGCCGAGCACGGCGTCAAAATCAACGTCGACAAAGGTCTCGTTGACCAGTCGCGTATTGATTTCCTTGGCCATCGAATAGACCGCGACGGCATAAGCCCGCTCCCCCAAAAAAACGCAAACCATTTCTGAGTATCCTATACCACAGTCCTTTAAAAGTATATTTCAATTTCTTGGAACGGTTAACTATTATAGCCGTTTTATTCCGGAGTACTCCGGACTCCTCCTGCTGGGATTTAGCAGCGGATGGCAGAACTCCAGTGTTACTGCAACTGCCGCATGAGGATTATAGAAGGAACATGATATAGAAGGAAGAAACGGAAACAGGTGAAGGAAAGAACGGGGTACCAGTTGTACCACGTTGTCGCTAATGCACCCTATTGTGCGTATCAGATAAAGCGATCGTTTTAAAACCGCGATGGCCGATGCAATGTGACGTTGAAGTTAATGATAAACTCATTTATTCGTATTTGCGCGTGGGCTGGGATACTCTCAAAGCACCCCAATCTAGACAGGATAGCTAAACCAAAGCCTTTTATTTGAAGGCCTACTGCTAGGAAGCATGGAGATCTATTGCGACATGACTGGACCTTAACGTGATGCGATGGTTTGCGTGCCCCAGCGATCCATTGGTCTATGCTAGGTTGATCAATGGTCAGAAGCCTGATAAACTCTCACTCTCCTGGCCCTCCAGGTTGGGCGATGAAGTGAGGATGGCTCCTTACTTCATAAATCAGACTTTCTGTAGCCCAATGCAAAACCCGCTGCCTTGCGGTCAGGTATTTGGACCAAAGACTGGTCGAGAATCCTGGTCGTTCTGTTATCCAGGCCTGGGCAACGTGAAAGTTTTGTGCCTACAGAATACAATGGCTTTCCTTTCAAGCAATTTCTTGATGCTGTTGTCGTCGCAGGTGATAATAAACGGCATTTTATCTGCTTCGTCGAGCGGAGTATATAGGGGTTTGGATACTACTGCTCAAGCTTTCCCGTCTTCTTCTCTCTTTTGCGCTTTTTCATCCTTATCGTCCAGTCCCAACCACTTTTACTCCCTGCTTTCAACCCCCAAATTTTTGGCCCTACCCGATCTTAGTGCAGTAGTCGTTCATCTTCTAGTTTCGACTCACACGCAATTGCAAGGCATCGCTCTGGTCCAGTCGACAAGTCCATGTCCAGTCTAATGGATTACGGCACATTAGATGAGATGTGTTTATCACCCTCGGCTTACGTGTATTGATGATGGTTTTACAGGAGTGCATGCCATCCCTATCCTGACGCGCCAGGAGGCTGGGCTCGTCCGACGAATAGCTCTCAAGAGACCAGAGGACATCATCATCATCATTGGGTCGAAGACGTACGCAAAACTTCGCCCCATGTCAAGTTCCGGTCTCATCGCTTGTGTTGTTGACAAGTTGTAGGCGTGTTGATCCAGACCGTTTGCTTAGGGTATTTAGGTTTTACATCAGGTACACATATTTCTTCTTTTCCTAAGCCATTGTGGCTGCATAGCGGTAAAGTATCCGTTTAAATTACTAGTGTACTGCTGCTGTTGGCAAGGACTATGCAACAGTTCAGATAGCTGTGATTGACGATGCTTACCCTTAAGGCTTTTTATCCGACTAAAGCATATAATGGGCTTTGCGCTTCGCATGTTTAAATTTCTCCGCTGATCTTCGCTACAGCTTCAAATCGCTTTCACCCCTCTTCTCGTGAATGACTACCGCCGAGCAGCCTCCATATGTCGTTCTTGAAACGAGGTACTCACATATCGTCTGATTCCATAAGACTAACAATATTTCTTTCAGCCAAGGAACCATCAGAATAGAGCTGTACTGGAAGCATGCGCCGAAAACATGCATGAATTTTGCCGAATTGGCCAAACGCGGATATTATAACGGCGTACCATTCCATCGCGTCATACGAGATTTTATGATTCAAGGAGGCGACCCTACAGGAACTGGCCGTGGAGGTGCTTCGATATACGGCAGTTGTTTCGAAGACGAAATTCATCCTGATCTTAAACACACAGGTTCGTTGGTTGATTATTTATCAGAAATTCATTTTCCTTAGGTGCTGGAGTCATTTCCATGGCAAACGCTGGGCCGAATACAAACGGAAGTCAGTTTTTCATCACTTTGGGCCCAACTCAATGGCTTGATGGAAAACATACTATCTTCGGACGAGTCGACGCCGGTATGAAGGTTGTTCAACGTATGGGCATGGTTGAAGTTGACCAGTTCGACAGACCAAAAGATCCGTTGAAGATAAACCGAGCTTACACGGCATCTGCTGCCTAGAGACCACATTTAACTGGCCAGATTGTATATATTTTCCCCTATAAAATGTGCTCGTTTTCCACTTGTTTTCAGACAAACGCATTGGGTAACATGCGTGATAATATCGATTATGAGGTGTCGCCTGTGTTCGGTCAGGTGGAAGAAGTGGGTATTTTGGAGCAAGCGACCACAGAAGCACTGCGTGTATATGCACAGGACTGACGACCATGTGACTCAAATCAACATTCCACTGATTCGAATGTCTTGTTCATTTCCAATGGATGGATCCTACGGAGTAATGTGTTTGTTTGTTTGTTTGGGGTCCTGAAACCTCTTGATCAGGTGATTCTGTCTATAAAACTTCGGTTATCACGTCGTCCCGATTAGTTAGTCGACAGCCGACGTAAGGTAAGCACTGTAGGATCACCTATATGGAACGGTTTCCGCTTCCACAATAGGCGCATGAAGGACCTCCCACGTCGACACTGAGTTGTTCAATACTGGGCGCTGTTATTCGGTCGGCATAATTGGTCAGTGCGAGGTGTGGTCTATGGTGTCAACATGTAGTCAGTATGTGAGGTCTTCGTGCTACATGCACACTGGCTACTGAAGCTAAGCAGCACGACTTACATAGACTGTCACCAGGGCAATTGTACATCAGTCTTCAAAGGACAAGTACAACCCGGATACAAGGGTAGATGTGCGTGTGCCGCTTAAATAGTGTTTACTACAAAGACTTGCGAACAGAAATTCGTTTCGATTTTCCATGATTACACGGTTAATGCATATCAACAAGTATCTTCCCTAACCGCCTGCTGTGAAACAGGAGTAGGGCGCAGAAAGACACCGCTATGAGCCAGAGGTGGTCATCGCAATTCTTCTATGAGTTCTTGCCCCTGAGGCCTTTGTTTGATCCTTATGGTGAAACCATTTGCCAGTCAGCTTTAAATAGTCGTGGTTGTAAGTGACACCGATTTCAGTACGCCGCATTCTCCGGAACAACATCTACATCGCCCATGTCAAACGAACTCTAACAATCTTGTTCTGTTTATCTGATTTCCGGTGGCACTGATCCTATCACAATGTCTCTTAGCTATCCGTTACTGTTTCTCGTTCGTGAAGTTGCATTCGACTTTACACGCAAACACCTTTGTAAAAAAATCTCAGGTGATTTTTAACAACCGCTTGGACACCTGCGCAAGACATGTTTCGCTGTGTGAGGCTGTGGTGCCTGCGGCTAAAACTCAACATCAACCGAATCGGTGACAGACTGAATACTGTAAATAGAGAGCTAGTAAATATACATCTGTGTTGCTCCATCATTGTTAGAGCGGGCACGTTTGCGGAATCATATCATTGATTTCTGCCCGTTTGCAGCACATTACAGCTGCGCCATAGGTTATTCGAGTGCGATGCGCACACATTCCGGTAGATTAACGAAACTATCCCCTTACCAGGACGATCGCGACCGTATGCACTGCGCTTTAGTAGAAAAGCAATCCGTTCTTTATTCAAAAAGTCATGCCTTGAAACAATACGGCTTCATGAGGATATAGGGTACCACACTGTTGTGGATGGGAACATGCGGTCACAGTTGAAATAACAAGTACATATTCATAGAGTAACGCATAAGGAGATCGATCGCAGGTGTGGCCGACATGCAGTTTACTCAAACAGTAGCATAAGACTTTTGCGTAATTAAAAGCAAATGGAAAATGAGTAGTATTCGCAGTGGGTAAAAAAAAGTCAGCACAAATGTCACTGGGAACGCAATGCAGCACAACGATAGCGTCAGTATCCTGCACAAAGAGAACAATAGCGGTTAGTCCGACTGGATTCTGTCACTTTTTCTTTTTCATTGTGAAGTTTCCTTGCTTCGCCTGTTCAGCTAACAGCTTTCGGCGTTCAAAAGCGGCCATTTCATCTTCAAGAGCCCGTTTCTTCTCTTCCAGCTTTTTTTTCTCCTCGGCGTGTGTCCGCTTGAGAGCCTCGAATTTAGCCTGAAGCTGATGTGTACAGATAAATCAGTAGCCACTCCATCAAAACTAGTGCTATGTACGGAAACAAGTGTTTGCATGACCACAATCTAGCCAAAAGCATCTGTGGTTTGATGGAGATGGCACAACATACGGTCGTATTCTACGCAGTTCAAGGACAGGAGCATAGACGGTGGTTGTGGTCACTTGACGCCCAGTTTTTTGGATAAAGGATTCTAAGAATGAAAACACGCTGTGCAAGAGATGTCAATGAGGACATATTGAGGGATATCTAAAAAGCAGTTTGTAGCTCAGGGCACCCACAGTTAGTGACGTTGCTTCAGCAGATACACTATGTGGTATAAGCAGATATAAATTGATTTATTCACTGGACTGAAAATCTGCATGGGCTCACTGGAGAAAAACTGCCCAAGTAACTGATTCATGCGTAAAACTATGCGACTATCTAGTTTAGTACAATTACAGAGTGCAGAAATACGATGAATCTGGTTGCAACGGCCCACATCGCCGTGATGGTAGGTGACAGTCTGTGGAGATACAGAGAAAAATGGATACAAACGGACAGCGACCAGAGGCGAAACATAAGGGATTATGAGATGGAAAGTTAGCATTGTTAGACAAGGGCAACATTAACCTCTCTGTTGGGTCAGGTTTTTAAAGTTGACGCGACTGACCTCTTGGGCCCTAATGCAGGAATGAGAAATGCAATTCGCAATGCAGGCCACCCATGGCTTTTCTGTCGATGTGGATGTCCTGTGACTGTTCACCATAACATTGGGGGACAAACTCATTAACGGATGTCGCCAGTGGGCCAGCATTCCAGTCGACCCTGAGAGCTGTTTGCATCGCTTACGAACGTTCACATCGCTCTACAGATTGTAAACATCGAAACTTCATTTCGAGCTAGCGTTACATAAGTACCTGAAATTTAAGATGTCAGTCAGTTGAAATCTATTAGATTTAGTTTAAGAAGTGGATTCAACTGTTGTGCGTGTACCCATTTCATAGTCTCAGAAGGATGCACCACCGCAAACGCGACATGCATTTGGGGCTAAAGTCAATTCGCACTGCAACAAAGCTATTCAGGTCTGTGATTCTGTACGCGATAGTGCATGAACATGTGAAAGTACAAAACGGAGAGGCTAGATTCCACCATAATCGAGCTGTTTACGCCTCATTTTCACCCTTTGATAAGTATCCGAAAATTGCCAGATGTTTCGCTATTAGGATCCGATATACTTCGTCTTTCGGGACCAACTATGTTCTCTGCAACGTTCGCAATTTGCATGGCAGTGGAGGATAGAATGCGCTATATCCCAGTTGTAAATCGTGGTGGTCCTCCACTATCCCCGGTGGCTGGCGGCGCAAGCCGCTAGTGGCCAAGGGTTCGAGTCCTGGTGGATCCGATGATGCCCACAACAGGCTGAAACTGCAGTCTAATGCTTTTCCGGGCATGTGGAGGATTAGCTGATTTAAAAGTCGGTGCGACGAAATTTCGATTAATTACATCAAAAATCCCCTACCAATGAGTACATCAAAATACCCTCCCTAACAATCCCCAAATGCTACGTCGTACATAGCTACTGTCAGTGGACGTCGTGTCTTTCGGGGTCAAGGCTGTCCTCTGCAACGCTTGTAACTTGCATACCAGCTGAGGATAAGATGCGCTTTATCGCGGTTGGCTTGTAAATCATGACGATCCGACACTGTTCCCAGTGGCATAAGCTGTTGTCTGGCAGCTCAGGCTGCCAGTGGTCATGGGTTGAATTCGATAGATGTGTACTACTGACGAGTCTCGGCAGGTCGAAACGGTCGTTTAACGTTTCTGCGGGCTTGTATAGGACTATCTGATTGAGAAAGTACTGCGAGAAGACCCCAGACTATTATTTTAATCCTTTTTGGTCTCCCGAGAGCATGGATTGCATCTGGCCCATCAGTAGACGGAACTCTGAAGGTGAGTATAGTGCACAGGACATTCTACCCTCGCAAAGTCGCGCGACATGCCCCCATTATCCTCGTTCAACTTTATCATCACGAAGATCTATGTCGAAAACTATGATCTCGACTGAACGGAACTAGTCTCATGTGGTAAAAAGTCTTTGATGAAATCGTTACAATTTGTGGCTCCTACAATTTGCGTGGAATGTTTTACACTGGTTATGGAAATCTGACTAATCTTTGGTGATCGGCCCTCTGGTTGACTTACCATTAGAACTGCAACACCACCGTGGATTCGATAAAACCCATCGCGCATTTTAAAACAGGTCGTTTTTTATCTTTGTCCATCACCTCAGTGCGTCTTGAACATCACTATGTCACGCTGCGTCTGCGACCCGTTTTAATGTATTTTCCGTTGTGGTCTTGCGACCCGATCGATTGTATGTCCGAAACTCACCAGTACTCATCATCAGTACCTTTTGGCAGTATACGATGACAAAAAAGGCATCAGCAGTACGCCGGTACGCAGTACCGATGCTTCGATGCCGCGCGAGTACCAACAGTCGCGCGTGCGCTGAGGATACTGTGAGGGTCGCCCGGTCCATACGCAGGCTCGAACCTGCGCTTGTGGTCTTTAAGGGTACGCGAACTGGCGTATACGATAGCAGCACAGTATCATCAATGGCGAACGTGGTAACTCATTTCCAAACAAAAAGCATACCTATTTCGGCCACAGAGCCATATCATTTTATTTCCAGGGTTGTAGATAACGAGCCATTGTCTAACTAGACGTGCTCTTTTCACATATGCTCTGTCGACTGGTTGAGTCGATCCTATAATTGTTCTGGGTGGAATCACTTTCCCTTGAATGACATTGAAATGCTCACGAACATTTGAAAGCACCATCGGATAAAGTTGAGAGCCCTTGTCGAAGGCGAATTCGCTGCGATATACTGTTTATCATGCATTCCTTCTCAGTTGTTTATCTACCTATGGTCCGTGGGTTTTGATTTGTTCTTCTAGTTGGATGATCGGTTTGCAGACGTTCCGTAGCCGCACTACACGCAGCATCATCGATGCAGTTTCCAGGGTCCGGTCCGTGGCACCACCTAAACTACTTCTAAACCAAAGTGTTTATTACAGACGTTCCGCTTCGATGGACTCACGTGCCTAATGGCCTTTTGTTTTTCCGTGGATTTCGACGCGCTTCAAATCGAAGTGATAGTTTTCTACATCCATATGTACTGATTTCGGATCTTAAGGGTAGCTAGATCGTGTTCATGTAACCTTGCACTAAGCTTTCTTGTCTGCCCCACGCAGTGTTACTCGCGGTTTCGACAACAGGTCTTGGAGATCACCCCAGGCATTCCTACTCTGTTAAGTTTATCTTTCATCATGTGAAGTTTTTATTCAGATTGTTTCCGTCGGTTGGTGGGCAACCTTGAATCAATGACTTAATAAAAGTCTCGCTGATATTTCGGCATGGCTCTCTCTTCAACCGTTGCAAAGCAATCACTCAAACTGAAAAATCCACATCTGCACTCTTAGCTACGGATATTCTCAACGACTGGTATATACCTAGTGCATATAGTTGCGCGTAATGTTAGTGAATAAAGCTTTCTATGCTAATGTGGAATAGTACTGTTTTTATACGTGTTCAGTTGTCACGTGCACCAGCAACAACCGCGAATGTGACATCATACCTTCGAAGGTTGAACGCCCTTGTTAACTCTGCCTGGGATTAGTCGCTGTTTCCGTCATTACAATCATGCTACAGTGGAGCCTCCCTGTGATTTAATTCAACCAAGAAAGGCCAGCCGACATACATAGAGTGCAACTTGGGTACATACGACGCGAACTGCGAATGTAGTGGAAATGTCAGCTTACCTCACGCTCAGCTTCTTTCAACACCTGCTCCTTGTCTTTGACTCGCTGGACGAACAGTTGACGCATTTCCTCCTCCTTTTGTTGCAATTCTTTCCGCTGTAGCTCACGGCGTTTTTCATAGATTTCCTGCGATAAAACCGATAGCATATTTATGATACCACAATGGAAAACTGACAGCTCAGTATACATAGAAACGGAGTGCCCTAACGAACGGTGCAGAGAACACACGATCAATAACGCGGAGTTTTTGTGAAATACCGTGCACATAAAAGTACTTTGAACATCATAATGTGTGGTACACGATCTAAAACCAAGTGCAGTGCAGCGAAATCACACTGAAGCTTGGGGGACGGAAATACAAAGGGCATGCGCCACAAAAGTGAAGTCATAAAGAATATTGGTCCAGTCCAGATATCAATAGCGGGGCTGGACAAGTGCTCCCAATCGTCGACCAGAGTTCAATGAAGCAGTTTGATACGATCATCCATCTGAAAAGTCTCATCCCGACACAGATGCACTGGAGATAAGGTTACCCACTAGATTTGGAAACTGTGCCGCAACCGGTGTCCGACCCCAACAATCAAGTCTATGTCAAATCAATCTTCGGTCCTAGTCTAAATGTATAGGCGGTTCAATAACTTGACGAGAAAATTAATGATGGAAGACAAAGAGGAGCTCTGAAGAAGAGTTCCGGATAGCAAGAGTGAGCACAGAAGAGACGATTAGAGACCAGTTTATGATGGTAGATATTCCGCGAGTTGTTCCGTTAGGTCTCAAGAAATTCCGTAACGAAGCACTTAAGTAAACCGCTTGTCTTGGAAAAAAAGTCTAACGAAATGCAAATCAATCCCTCTCAAATAAAACAGGTGAATGTGCGAAGTCGTTTTCCAGGCACGGCTCAGAGTGCTCGTACATGCTGCATTAGACTCCAAGCAGCCATGTCATAAGATCACGTATCGAGCCCTACATAGTCCAGTTTCTACGCTAACCTAGGTGACCGATGATTGGTCCAGAATATGACGTATCATATTAGGGTGATAAGCGTATACATACGGTTACAATCCACTCTGACGGTGAGTTGAACTTGCAACTTTACATTTCCACATAAACATCGTCGTAGCTTACAGACGGGCAGTCTGTAGCTTCATGCAAGCTCGCTGTCTGCCTGTGTTCCTCTCTGCTTTCGTGTTCATCACGTACTCGTCTGGCTGGTGATTCAGATAGCGCGCATAAAGGTAGTAGCTTCGCGTGGGTTTGTATTCGTACCAACTGATCTTTCCGCGTCTGTACACGCTTTCAACTATGTCGTGGATATCGTCAATCTGTTTATTTCTACCCGAGACTGAATGTATCCATAAAAAGGAAAAAGGCAGACAAACCCATGCGATGCGATTAGTCAGATGCACTGTGTATGAAGGAAGCTGTGGGGTTATTGTGTGTACAATCGATATACGCGGTCAACACCACACACCACCACAAATTGTAAAACCGGGTGCAACAGTTCGATAAATCGGCTGTGTGATTTTCAAGCAGATGATGGCCCTAATTTGACACAAACACGTAGGAGGGATGCGGTGCTACGCTTCCGAAAGAAACTGTGCAAACCTAGACGGTGATTTTTGCGCGAAAGCAAAAAATGGGGGTACCAAATCATCTGCAGTTCTGAAACATCCGGGGACAACAGAACAGTTGAAGCAGATAGTAAAATATATGTACAAAATGATCAGTGCTATATTATATAGGAATAACTTTTTACCCGAAACCGTGAGTGAACGTGTGATGTATTACCGCCCCATTAGCCATACTTCCATATTGACTCGTATTATGGAAAGAATAGTCAAAGAAAGAGTCATGGAGTTTTTAAATTCACAAAATCTGATCGACAGGTCGCAACATGGATTTCTCCGTGGTCATTCATGTAAAACCTGAATTTCTGCACTAGGTAACCAAGTTGGCTGACTCTGGGCAGTCGATGGTTATTCTATTCTTAGACATGGAAAAAGCATTCGACCGCGTACCCCATGCAGAACTTCTAACAAACTTAACCTCTTATGGGTTTGCTAACCCATTACTAGCATAGTTGTCATCTTTCTTGTTTACACGCACCCAGGGTGGAAAACTGCGTAGCTTCACCTATACCAGTAACCAGCGGCGCCATATACAGGGAAGTGTTTTAGGCCCACTGCTATTCCTACTATACATAAATGACATTTTCCGAATCTTTCGACATGGCAGACCCTTTCTTTTCGCCGATGATATCAAAGTTGTGTTCGCTTTTGATAGCATAAATGAACCAAACGGTGCCCAAACAATACAGATGGAGCTCTTTGCCCTTCAGCGGTGGTGCCGAGAATGGAAAATGGCATTCTCTGTTGGCAAATGTAAAGCCCTATTCTTCAGATGCAATCTTATTAATGACGTACTGACGCTAGATGACAAACCAATTACCTGCTGCACAACGATTCGTGAAGTCGGAGTCCGATACTCAAACTCTTTCAATTTCTCCGAACAGGTACATGCTGTCACCGCCAAAGCGAGATTTATCATAGCACGTATTTTCAAGACGTTACGTTTGAAAGACTCTAGGCGAGCTATGTATAAAGCACATGCGCGTCCAGTCTTAAAATATAGCCCATTAGTATTCACAAATTTAAAAATGTATGATAAAATCAATGTTAAAAAGTACAACGTTCTTTTACCAAACGGTTACTAGGATTTGGATCCTTGAATTACCAACAACGGTGTAAACTAATGCAGCCAGAACCATTATGGTTGAGGAGAATTAATGTTAATCTTATCTTGCTGTTTGCTTTAGCTCATACCAGTTCTGAGGGACCAGATACTGTCCAGTTTCGCACTTCCCATTAATATGCAACTAGAAATGCATCATCCAGCCTATTCGTCCCTAGAGTGCGTACAAGATTACGCGCCAAATTCTCTCATAAGATATATAACGTCATGGAATAAGCTGCCGGAATCCATTAGATGCAACAACAATAAGCATATATTTCGGGCTCAAGTATTCAACCACATCACCGTAGAGATATTAGGCATACTGAGCGAGTCTACAACTCTAGACAATATTTATGAGAAGCGCCACAGAACTTTAAAGGTCAAGACTCACATCTACCACATTCTAAATGCTGCTCGGCTTAGATCTCACCTTGTACATTAACTCCTGACTGCTTATCTGTCCATTTTATTTTACTTTTTTCTATGTTCGATGTTTTCTTTGCCACATTTCGTTTCACTGGCTCTCCTAACCGTCCTGCACTGGTTACTGATCATCTGATTTCGTTTTTTGCCTTGTTTTGGTTTGAAAAAAGTTTCACCTCTGTACTCCACGTCATAATATTCCAGGTAGTTCTTTAACTATTCCTCTGATGAAACAACAGAGGTGACCCAGGTTTTTGTCACTCCACTTCATCTCATCTTGGCCCTCACCATCTCTTATTTTTTATCGAACTTGAACTTCCGCCATTTGCTTATGTCAGCATTGGTAGATTAGCAGAATGAGAAGCTAGATCCTTTGCGGTACATTATTATCATGTTGCTCTCATATATTTCATATTGATTTTACCTGGCCCAAAAGTTAACCGTGTGTCGGAGTGGCCCGTGTCATTTCGGAGAGCCGGACTTCCAGGATGTTTGACCGCCTCCACACTCTACCTTGGCCATCTCCATGAAATTCTCTTTTACGTGGCTCCATTTCCCATCATGCGCCTGTTAAAGCTCAGGCTCAGTGATGGGTGGACACTCAGTTCCTACTTTTTTCACAGACCTCATCTTCCACGCTTATACTATTATTCGTACTTTACCCTGGCGTAATAAAAGTTTACATCGTTCAGAATAACCACAGAGGTTATGGCTGATGATGCACGCAAACCTTGCTGTATGCTGTAATAATCCGGAGTATAGCGGCGAATAAAGCTCTCCACTACAACTCATGACCACAAATTTTATTGTGCTATACCACACATTGTAGACTTCATTTGACAATTTAGAAATTATGTTGCTATCATCTGGGTCGCTTTTCCTAGTATAGCTGCGTCGCACTGAAATGTTGTCATCTACCAAATGAGGCACCTTTCGCTTTCATTGTACTTAACGCCAGAGTCTGTTGCTATTAGAATCTTCGTTTCATTCTGAAGTACTTTTCTCACAGCGTAAAGCTTCCGGCATGAGTCCGCATTTTTAGATGTTCCAAAACAACTACTGAGGAAATTACAAGAACGCTTGCCAAATTTTATATATTCCGTACAAACTGATGTCTATATGTTTGGATAATTCTCTGTCAGACATTGAAGTTTTATTTATTTTTACTGGTAATCATTTTATAGCCGTTACTTACCTACACCTTGATACTAGTGTTTATTTTATTTTCTCCCTGAGTCCACTACAAACTGGGACTTCTGCACGTGGTTTAATCGAGCGGTGAAGTTGGATTGCGCGTCAGCGGGAGTATGAAAGAATGACTTATCCAAGAAAGTTTCATTTCCGCCTTCTGGTCAGACTGCGATGGTCCAGATCGACGGGACATCCGTTAACGGAGGGTATAACCCCAGTACAATCTTCTGCACTTCACCCTGAACAACGTGCATGTGTGAAACTGACATGGATATAACATAGTGCATATTTCCATCTAATATGTGGAGGGGATTAAATGAAAAAAATCTGTAAATATTTTGATCTTTCCCTATGTGGGAATAGTCTCTAGCATCGTCGAGAAATAAAAGATTCATTCATTTATTTATTTATGCAGCGGTGGCCGAATCGTCTCAATTCAGCAATTCAACGAAACGAACTGGCGGACCCTCTCATCTTCGCTCGAGTAATAATGACAACAGGAGTGCAGAGGAGATAGGAGAAACAAAATGCGCTCAGAACAGGATCGGGAAAAGCCGAACGAAAGGATTACGAATTAGAAGCAAAAATGAGGACCGGAGTACTATTGATTTCACAACTGCGAACCACATTTGATAAACCCCATGGCGCCTCATTATAGCGTTTGCACTATCATCATAAGCGCTTGATCAGAACCAAATTTAAATTCGCACATTGGTTTGACTCGGCCTACTAAAGTGGGAAAAAATCGAAGCGAGCTAAAGAGGAAAATGTAAGGCGCTACTTTCGCATGATAACTCGCGAAATCAATGCAAGAGCAGCGGGAAAATACCTTCCGAAACGAAGTACGCAGAAAGCCATGTAGCGCGAAGATGCGTGTATGGTGGATCACTAGCTATGGATAGCCTTTACGTACTGTATGAGTTGGCGACGCTACGATAATGATTGGTCAGTCTAGTAAAATAGGATAAGACTGCGAAGCTAGAATGGAGTGCTGTGATGTAAAACCTCTATTACCTACGAAGTCACACCCACCTGAAGGGACATCTTTTCATCATCTCGATAGCCAATCTCGATGAGTCGCTGTCGTCGATAGGTCTCGTAATGTACAGTGTGTGTACGCTCGCGTAAATCTTCCATGTTTACCCGAAGTAGCATTTCTCGCAATCGCACGAAATCACAGTGATTCTCATTCTCCACCTGAACTGCTCCCCAAGGGTACTGTCGAACTCGTGTGTTTTTGCCGTTGATCTTGACCTCTTCAGAACTGCCAACAACAGCGAACGGGACCAGTTGCTGCAAAAGAAAGAGACTAGACTGCCAGTTTAGAACAAGGCGAATATTCACCATACAGATACAAAGAATGCAAACGAACCGGAGTCAGCAAAGAATGGACATGAGACTAAGCGTGAGTGGCTAGGTGCAATGAGGGAGACATGTGAGATGCACATCCATCACATGGTGACAACGAGGGCTCAGCTGCGATGATGAAATGGGAACATAGGGAAGACACTGCAAAACGGGCATTGTTGCAACACGGCCGATATGGTGAATGGAAGCAACGGTGAACATCAAGATAATAGTGTGTAGCGATGCAGAAAACTGAAGTAGAACTGAAATGGTCACTCGGGCTTGTGTGCTCCTCTCGAAGAAAACACTACATGCATCGGTGAGGTCCGTGCGGCATCGATCGTCTGCAGAGCAGGTTGGATGTCAATCAGAGGATGAACGAATAAAGGCACCGTGCGATTGATGGTGCCGCACTGATCAGGGATACGGGCACCGCAATCCAAGGATATTAGGCGTCTGGTCGTCTTTACTCACCGGTAATTGCTCACATCTATTGGGAGCATCGAGTGAACAATGCTAAAGTCCACCAATTGGTGTTAAGCAACAGACCCTTTGACCATTTCCTCAGATCCTTCGCACGCCCGCGGACCGGCGGGTTCGGCATGTATTGATTACCGTTGATGCACTTACTTGGGGTAGTCGATGAAAAGGCGTAAGAGTGTAAAAAGCTGAAAGGCGAAGCCTGGTCAGGCTAGCGCTTGCCGTTTTTCTGGATGAATGTCTCGGGGTCGGCCAAAGCATTGATTGCAGTCAAGTCAAGATAAGCTTTATGTGCCTATGTGGAAGCATTTTCAGCAATGTACATTATCCCAACATAGCATCAATGGGAAAAATGCCAAGTAAATTTTTACTCAAGCAAACGGTCTCGCAACTGGGTCGACTAACAAGCGAGATAGAGATATGGCAGAATGCAGTTGCGAGATGACGAGGTAGGAGAAAATAAAACTAGCTTCCGACCGCGTGGAAATACAGTGCAGTACCGACTATAATAGGCATCAGCAGTACGCCGGCACACAGCACCAACGCTTCGCTGCCGCGCAACCATCAACAGTCGAGCGTGAGCTAAGTATGCGGTGAGCGACGTCCGGTCCCTACGCAGATTCGAACTCGCGCGCTCAGATTACAACGCAGGCTTGTGATCTCTAAGGGTATAGAGGGAGGGGTTAAAAAGTTGTGTTTGCTAACGACAAAATAAACGAGGGATTCTTTGCTTAATCCATAACGTCGATAAATACGTTAGTGGGCACAATAAGAGTATGATCTTTTGAAAAAGTCCGGGGTATATAGCAGTGGAATAGTAAATGCAATGGTGGAGAATGTACCAACATTTGCAAACATTAGAATTAACGCATGGGTAGGGAGAGTATTTGGAATTTGAGAACGTAGAAGTCTTCCGACTTTTACATAAGCTTCAAAAATATGTATCGACCAGAATAAATTGTCAGACAGAATACACCGACATACTTTACTGTGGATAAACGAGAGATGCCTTGATCACTCACGATCAAAGGATGAAAAATGCTTAATAGGAAACGCAGTATGTCGGAGCGAACAGAATAGAACGAGACAACACTTAGGAGGGTCAAGGAAGTGGAAACGAGAGCTTAAGCAAACCAAGACTTCGTCAAATCTTTGGGGTTTAGAAGTTTTTAACCACTAGAGCTATACACTCTAGGATGACGTCATCAGAATATTTACATCCGGTGAAACTAAACCACATGGGCAGAAATTCGACATAGGGGGAAAACAAAGGAGATAAAATAGTTTCTCGGAAAACTGGCTTTATTCGATGAGTTAGTGGGGAAATCTGGCGCTCATGAATGCAGTCGCCAGCGACTTTCTGCTGCATTTTCTACACGGGACAGGACACTTTCCGACTTCTTTTATGCTGAACCTGTGCCTGCGTGCGCTTTACTGATTTTGTTATTTCCCCTGAATTTGTCACACTGCAGTGCCCGAAGCACAAACGACCGATTGAGCTGGATTTAGCAATCCGTGAGAATATTTGTAGCTCGGGATGCGGATGAGGGTATGCAGGTGTTTTCCGAGCTGGCTGATTTGGTTGCAAACGTTTCATCCGCCGACATGACCAGAACTCCCTGATGTCGGTACATATGGACGCCGAGAATCATCAATTTGATTTCGAGAATGTCAGGATCATAGGCAGGGCAAAAAGTCAAAAAGCACGCGAGTTCATCCAGGGTTGATATCCGGTGAACAACTCAATCAATAGACAATTAGATCTAGATACTGCCTATGAAGCACTGAGAGTCAAAACAATACTCCGCCCCAGATCAACAGGACAAAGAACCTCATTGAGGCGGACTCTAGCCAAGAGTACGCAAGAGCTGACTACACGGTCAGCTCACGTGGACCAATCGACTCCTGACGTTCGAATCAAGTGATCAATAATCACTTGGATCTGCAAGTGGCCCGCATAAATCGCACTGATGATGTCGTCTAGTCTGACGATGAAACGTTTGCAGCCAAATCAGCCAGCTCGGAGAAAACCCACATACCTTCGTGAGCTGGATTTGTTATCATTAAAATAACTAGCTCCTTTCATGGGTTCGGGAAGAGCGATCAGAGAGAAATCGGAGAATAGGTGTTTAACACTAGTCAAAACTATTAGCTATAAGTGAGAGTTCATCGCAGCCAGTTCCAAATCAGATAGTCGTCCATATGCCCAGAAAAGCACTAGACTGCAGTTTCAATCTGTTGGGCATCATCAGTAGTGCGTATCCATCGGCTCCATCAGGATTCGAACCCATGACCATCAGCGGCTTGCACTGCCAGTCAGCAGCTTATGCCACTGGGCCACGGGGGACAGCTTCGGACCGTCATGATTTGCAAGCTACTATAACTATAAGTAGTAAGTGCATACATATTAGACTAAGCGCGATCAAATGAGTCCGAGGCGTGGGATGGATGAATTATCGCATTCCCGTCCAACATCGACTTAACGCGGTTGATAAACTAGAGCAAGCGACGATCTGTGTAAAGTAGAATTTTGTATACATAAGTTAAGTTCAATCGGTGACTTCGAATTGTTAAAAAGGAGATCTGCCGTCGAAAAGTGCCCGGGATAACTTCGTAGATAATGGGACAATGAACAATCGACAATGTTAAAAAAAACAAGTGCTTGGAAAGTCACGTTGGATGGTTTGGGTGAAAAGTAAAAAATCCAAAAGATGCCCTATCAGTTTAGGCGACTACCGATTCAGATGCGCTGCTGCATAACGGTAGTGTGAAATGGGAATTGAATGCAGGCACACAGAACAATGTGGGGACCAGTTATGGTTGATGTATTCTGTGACAAAAATGGAAACACTCACACATGTGCCACTTTTTTGGGTCCATGTGATATGCAAATCCAGTTTGAGTACAACATATAGATATACCACAGTAGCACCGTTTATGTAACGAAGTGCAGGAAGTGAAACTAGACACATTGATTGATGGTGTAAAGGGCCATATAGCACAATCTAAATGTATGAGTGCATCGTCGAGATGTGTTTTTAAATATTGTTGATGTGGAGGAAGAAACAGCGTCAGTGGGGAGGGTGTTCCGATATTGGCACACATGTGTTAGAAACAAATTCTGGCGGCATTCCAACCGGCTATATTGTGCCACCCACCTTAGCTGGCGACCTCTCAGATTCAATTTTAGGTGGCGACAAGCATGATTGGGATTCCTCAGGATCTGATATCATTATCAAATCCGCAGGCAGGCATCGATATTATCCACTGTAAACCCTAAAGCTTTTCAGCCTCAGTTGGCAATGGAGATGAAACAGACTCTTCACGTTCTTGCTAGCCCTTCGTTGTGGCATTTCAGGTGAAGCAAGGTTGTACTTGTGCCAATTCTGTTAGGCATACATGCTGTATTCCGAATAGGGGCTAATGTAGGTGTTGAGCATCTGAGAGAAGATGAAGGAATCAAGTCGTCCGAATGCCATCTGCAATAAGTCAAGGTGTTGGTTGGATTTTTGGATGGTTTAGGAGCCTGACGTTAACAGCCAACGTCTTCTCTTGCAATCTCACATCCAGTAGAAACGCGCTTCAAAACTTGATCCCCCAGACTGTACTCGCAGGTAGATTGATGGCGCATGCTGAATGCCTTAAACTTGGTAGTGTTGAAATGAGGCAAATTCTAAGTCCTCCATTCATATACCCTGTCAAGATCATCCTGCCATGCATATCTTGAGATCATCAGTGGAGAGTAAAATTTTGAAGTGATCAGTTTTGTGAGAACGTTTAGGTAAACCAGGAATAGGTGTGGATCAATTACCGAGCCCTATGCTACACGGCACTGAACTTCGACAGGGTCGAGAATGACACTGTAAACTTTCATATTCTTATGTCGCTGAAGCAGGGAGCTACCTATCCAACCGAAGACCGGATCATCAATTCTACAACTCTGAAGCTTTTGAAAGCGGATGCGGTAATTCGGATAGTCGAACGCTTTTGAGAAGTCCAGAAAAACCGCGTCAATTCCCACACCGCTGTCGAGGGCCACAGTCTAACTGTAGCAAGCAAGTAGCAGATTTGTGGTGTAAGACTGGTTTTGGCGGAATCCATATTGTTCTAGTGCCATAACGTCGCATCTTTCCAAATAACCCATGAGCATTTCGGCTATAATGTCCTCCAGGAATTCGAAAAGCACCAGAAGGAATGTTATTGGACAGTAGCTGGTCGGATCTGCATGACTTCCCCCTTGCGAATGGGAGTGGTGATTCCGTGCTTTCACACTGCTGGAACTCGCATCACATTGAGATCTTGTGACTATGCGGGAACAGTCTTCAAAAGTAAAGCTACTACTTCGGAAAACTTCGCATGAATTCCGTTGACTCTGTTCGTGGCTGAAAATGAGAGTTTACAACGATCAGTCTGCATGCACCTTTCCAGTATCCAAAATAGCGTTGAATGGGGCGGACAGACTCATT